ATACCAACAGGAGAGTTGGGACCTTTATTTGATATCCTAAAAGGTCCATCAGATCCAAATTCACCCCGAATGTTAACGCCTGAAGCAAGAAAGGCATTACAAATCATTGAAACATATATGAAAAATATGCATTTGGATAGAATTGATGTAAGTTTGCCTTTATTATTTATTGTACTACCAACAAAAAATATTCCTACAGGAGTATTTTGGCAAAAATGCCATGCGTCATTCCAACTCGGCTATGGCTGTCAGCATGTGTGCACACTCTCGGGCCAGTGATGAGACACAGCCCTGCAGGAAGCAGAGCAGGAATGGGGAGGCCGACTTCTCAGCCAGCCCTGGCTACCTGTCATCCCTCACCTGCCGTGTACACAGGGGGTGGTGCACAGCTGCCTTTGTGTGCTGATGGACCCAGCCCTGAAATCCCCTGTCAGTGTCTGTGCTTGAGGCTCTGAAGTCAGAATTACCACTGCTGCCTTTCCAGACCATGGGAGGAAAGCCACGGACCCTTCCACCTGTTCTTTGGAAGGAACCAACCACTTCACTGGTTAAAAGACCGGGGTGTCCCATGACTCRCAGACTGTGAGCCCATCAGAACTGGGTTGTCCCCTTTAGGTTCTTTTCCCTCTGCATTTCCTGGAAGTGCAGACCCCACAGCACTGAAGAGAGGTGAGGGTGGAAAAGGGAAATGTGATTAGAGCTTTCTGGCCGTCAGTTATAGCCTGAAGATAAGAGTTTATGTGTGTGTGCTTTTTAAATAAAGGAGCATTTTGATTCCCAGATTAGTTTCCTTCAGATTCAGATAGTTAACCGATACGATTGATCACATGCTTCTAGTGGGGCTTTTAACCTGGTTTTGAGAGCCTTCTTGAGGTGAAGTGCTGGAAGATGTGTGCTGTGGAGCTCCTTCCTTGGGGATACACAGTGGACCGAGAGAGCCAGTTTGGTGGACACCAGCCTGCTGCGAGTTCCTCAAGTGTTTCCCACTTGTGAGGAGCAGCAGGTCCTACCTGTGGGGGATTGGGTGCACTTTCTTCCTCCTCTTGCTGCTGGTCCTGGGGGAGTCTGTGATCTGAGTGGGGAGAGGAGGAGCTGCTGCTTGGCCACCTGCCCATGTGTACAAGTTGGGGAGAAAAGGTGACCGTGCCCCTAACCTTGGGAGCCCCTGGCAACTGCTTGTCCTAGGCTTCAGACTGCATGCCCCATTAATTGATACAGAGGGGCTCCATGAGGTTGTGAGCCACTGAGGGGCAGGCAGCAGCCACCCATGTGCTATTTTGGGGGGAAAATGACCTTTTATAACTTTCCTACTCCTTTGTGTTGCTATTCTGCTTCCTTTTTCCATGTGGTGTGGAGAAAGTTGAGTGGAAAGTTTATTTTCAGGTGTCTCGCCAGCTGGGCCTCTGACACCCCTGGGTGTGAACACAGGGTTTGGGTCCCTGCACTGGCTAGCGCTAGCAGGCCTCCCAGTGTGGCAGTTTCTGTTTCCTCCCGTGCCTCATTTCACCATAGGCCTGGCGTGCTCTGATCTAGGCAGGTGAGCAGAGATGCTCCCGCTGTTCCCTGCAGCTCAGTCTCTTATCCTCGTGGCTGGCATCCTTGGGCTTCCCTGGGGCTGCTAGCTACCAGTGTTGATGCCCCCAATACAGCACAAAAGCAGAGCTGAGCCTGCATCCACTTTTCCCCCTTTCTTCTGTTCCTGGGGCAGGTGAGGGAGGAATCTAGAAGAAACGGTACCTGGCAGCTTCAATGTGAGCAGCCAGCTCTGAGGCCACGCCCTGTTTTGGTGAGTCCAGCAGGTGCTGCACAGATGCCCATCACCGTCTTCTGCACACATGTTYACAGTATCAGAGGACTTGAAGCCAAGTGGCACATGCTACATAAATGATTTGTTCCATTTAGAGTGAGCATTTTTCTTTTTATTTTTCTTTTCTTTCCTTTCCTTTTTTTTCGAGTACTGGGGATTGAACTCAGGGATGCTTGACCACTGAGCCCCATCATCAACCCTATTTTGTATTTTATTTAGAGAAGGGGTCTCATTGAGTTTCTTAGCACCTTGCCATTGCTGGAGGATTTGTTTTTTATTAACTTGTAAGTTGTTGCTTAGAATTCTTTTCCTTTTGGCTGCTACTCTGTGTTTCTGACTCCACCAACTAGAAAGCTCAAGACATAACATCATTACCTAGATTACATAGTATTTTGTTCTGGGCATGCTCCATTGTGTTGGACGGCTAACAAGCCTTGAGCTCACAAAGCAGTCCTGGAGCTGGGTGGCCCTACCCCAGGTGCTCTGCAGGCTTCATTCTGCACCATGTCTCCTGTGCAGGGGGACCTCGGAGGCCGTGGCATGGGTGTTGCGTGCCCTGTGTATTTGGGCGCCTCGTGAGGTCATGGTGGGCTACAAGTGACGTGAGTTGGTGTGCCTTTGCCTCTGCCTGTGTTTTCTGCATGCTCGTGCATTAAGCACCAGCTCTTTTTGATCAAAACACTGCTGCGTTTGCTCTTCTCAACTTTCTGTTTGAGTAGAGAATCGGACTTTGCTGAAATGTGCCTACCACAGGTCCCCACAGTGTGTCTGTTGTAGCTAAGTGAGGCAGGTCCTGCCCTGTCGGACAGTGCTGATTTGTATCAATGCGCCAGGGGAAATGGCTGTCACGAGGCCCTTCCTCCTCTCCTGTGGCTCCCTACCTGCACTGCCTGAGCCACAGTGGACCTTGTTTGTGTACCACCAAGGCCCCAAGGCTTTTGTCCATTCTTTCCCCACAGCATCCCCAGCTAGACCCCAAAAATCTGCCCTCACGATTTACCAAGTGTTTGTTAGACACATCCACAGTCCATCATGGTGACAGGTTAAATGTAGGTCAAGTGTGTAGAGTCCACCCTGGAGGAGGGAGGAGCATGTCATCTCAGGCTCATTCTGTTCATTGTAGCTTGATCCCTGAGGTGCCACAGGCTTTTGAGTTGCTGTGCCACCTCACATGTCCTGATTCACTAGAGCAGGTGACAATAAACTGGGCTTCTCGGAGCCTGCCTCGCTGTGATACTGTCAGCCTGGAGGGTTGCAGGGAGATGTATAGCTGGCTGCATTTACATGGGCTTCCTCGTGCTTCTGTAGTCGCCCAAGTGAGGCCATGCGGGCCCCTCCAGTGCCTGAGCCAGGCAACATCCAGTCTGTGCTCTGTGAGCCTTGTGTCATCCTCACCTGGCCACGTGTGGTTTTTGCTTGCTTGCTTAAACAGCAAGATCTTCATTTTCATTTCTGTTTTTATTGTTGTATACGGTACTGGGGAGTGAACTGGGGGGTGCTCAACCACTGAGCTGCGTCCCTAGCCCCCTTTCTTTTTTTGGTCCAGGGATTGAACTCAGGGGCACTCAGTCACTGAGCCACATCCCAGCCCTATTTTGTATTTTATTTAGAGACGGGGTCTCATTGAGTTGCCCTTGTCATTGCTGAGACTGGCTTTGAACTCAAGATCCTCTGTCTCAGCTTCCCTAGCCTCTGGGATTATAGGCATGCGCCACCGCCCCTGGCTCCCTAGCCCTTTTTACATTTTTATTTTGAGACACGGCCTTTCTGAGTTGCTGAGGCTGGCCTCGAACTTGCCATCTTCCCACCTCAACTTCCAGAGTGGCTGGGATGACAGGTGTGCACTACCACACCCTGCTGTGGTTTCCTCCCTTCTTGTTATGGAAGCTGAACAGCTCCAGGTGTCACAGATCAGCTAGGCAGGTGTGTGGTGTGAAGGAGAGCATGTTCCGAGGGCTGTGGGAGTGGTGGTTTTCTGCGACCCTTCTCTGTTGGTAGGCTGGCTGGTTGGGCAAGAGTGCTGGGGGTGGAGACATGCAGTCACGCAGCCCAGTTCCACCCATTAGCACCTCTGAGTGCCCTGTGGCCTTTTCTGCCTCAGAATGTGGCCTTTAGGGTCTTCTGAATTTATCTGGGAAAGGAAAGCTGTGTCCTAAAATTAAGTTTGTTCCCTGGAATCTGGTTGGGAGGCTTGTTCACACTTTTAAAGCTTAAAGAATTGATGACGTTGTGACCCCTTGTAACTTTAGAGAGAAATTCAAAGGGAACTGTCGTCGTTAGTCACCCAGCCCTTCCAGTGCTTCCTGCAGGCTGGGCTGTCCTGTCTTAGACAGCAGGGCTGAGCTCAGTGGTCCCTGAGGCTAGGTGACAGCTGCTGTAGKCACCGTGGCAGAGCCGCCCTGAAGGCACTCGTGAGCATTTGCTTGGTGGATTTTGGTGAGTGTGGTGTTGGTCCTGGGGTCAATGTGTGGCCTTGCTGGCTGTTGAGGGCTTGCCATGCTGTTCTCCCTCATTAATAATGTCCTTGCCCTACTGCAGAGGGCGTCCTAGAGACACCTGATGAGGGCATGTGCTCATTTCCAAGCTGAGACCTGTGTCGGGGCCTCTGTCAGGCAGGATTCTCGTCTGGAGTGGGAGTCCCTGAGGTATTGGGGGATCAGAATGTGTGGTCACCTGTAATTGTGCGGTAACTTCATGTGAGATTTGGGACATCTGACTTGGGTTTTGTGCATTAAGAAAACAAATTATCTAGCCCAGCTTGCCTGTGGTGGGTGTGAGAGGCCACTGGGTCTGTGGGTATGCCTGCAGATCAGTGTTCAAGGAGATCTGAGGTTACCTGTCCCCTCAGGAGCCAAGCAAGTGTGTTGTTTTTTCTTAAGCAGAAATGGACACCACACTTCTGTGACACTGATGTTCTTCCACACTCAATTTTCTGCTTTCAGGAATGCCTGCTGTCTGCAGCCCTGGCATGGTGCCCGTGGCCATGCCTGCACCAGCTGTGACCGCTCAGCCCCGTTGCAGCGAGGAGGACCTGAAGGCCATCCAGGACATGTTCCCCAACATGGACAGGGAGGTGATCCGCTCTGTGCTGGAAGCCCAGAGAGGGAACAAGGACGCAGCCATCAACTCCCTGCTGCAGATGGGTGAAGAGTCCTAGAACCGCCTGTTTTTCATGGCCTCTTGCCACCAGCCCTTTGGACTTGGTGACCCAGGGTTTCCCAGGGTCACCATCCCAACAAGATTCCTATGAAGACCACCCACATACCCCTTCCTTGGTCGTCTTTGCTGACCCTCCCCACCGTTCTTGAGATGCATGTGGGTTTTCAGTTCCCGGCAGTCCTGTTGACTGTTGGTGGGGGTGGAGCAGCTCCCTCCTCATCTCGGGTTGGGGGTGATGGGCAGCCGTGTCACTACACAGACCCATGCTCCTATTGCTTGAGGACCTGTGTCTCCCCTTCTCACACTGTTCTGGAAAGCATTCTTACAGAAAGCAGCTGCCTCTGCCAGGGTGTTAGAAATTGCTGAGTGTCTACTGTGCTCTTCGCCTGCTGGAGGCTGATCTCTGACTCTGTGGTTGCTATGCCAGGGCTTCTCTTCCTCCTGGTAGGCCCTCACCACTGAGCCTGATGTTGGGGAGGGAAGTGAGTGCAGCACTGCTTTTTCTCCTACGTGTTCCGGTCCCTGGCTGCTGCTGACGTGACATAGGCAAATGCTGTGCACCAGGACTGTAGTCCAGTGGGTGGCAGAAGTGGAAACCCAGCTGGGGTCAGTGTTTGGAGACCTCTTAGGCTGGAGCTGCACTTGTCTGTCATGCAGCCCCCTGGAGTGTGGCGGGACCCATGTTCTGAGCATTGCTGTTGGGGCTGAATGGGTGACATGTGGCGGTAGGCCCGACTCAGGTCACCAGTGATGCACTTTAAACTGTGTGCCGAGAAGCCAGGCTGCGGTGTTGCCTTTTGCGTTGAATTGCAGTTGCTTTTGCTTCTCTCAAGTGTTTGCGCCTAGCCTTTGGCTGTGAGATACAGGTGTGAAGGTGAACCCTATCAGTTCACACTTACCTGAAACATTTAGATGGAGGAAGTACTTAAGTTTCAACCTCTGTCCCTCTGAAAACTAGATTTGGAGGTTCACTAGAGGACAGTGCATTCTGCCACCTGCGGGTGCTTTTTTCAGGTGCATTGTTTATAGTGTTTACTTCCGTAACCCTGAGGCAGCTTGGTGGTACCGGGGCAGGAGGAGGTACCCCTTTGATAAGGCTTTGAATTGCAGGGTAGAGAAGATCCATGTGCTTTTGATAGACTCTACCACTTGCTTCAACACGCCAGCCGCTGGAATTCTCCACCCCAGGCTGCGGTGAGCCTGTGAGGGGGGCGTGGTGGGCAGCACAGGACTTTCCAGGCAGCTGGCTCAGTGTTCTCAGCAGGTTGGGCATGGGGCTCGCTGGCTTGCAGCACCCACCTCCAGGGCCTAGGTATGATTGCAGCTCCTGGGTCCTGTCATAATTTTGCTGTCTGTCTAATGCATGTGTTGTTGCTGGGCATGTCCTAGGGAGAGCATCACAGAACCAGCCCCAGAGCTGCCACCACAGCGCCTATGGAGGCAGCTCTCGTGGGTTGGCACTCATGTGAGGAGAGTGGCAGTTTTAAGATGACTTTGAACTTCCTGTGGTTTCTTCCTTTTCTTTTTCATGAACACTTTATTTTTTTAATAGACCAAAAAAAGACCACATTTTCTTAGGCCATTAGTTAAGTAGGACTTCTTCCATTCACTGTGTGTCATCTTCTGTTGGGAGTCCGGGGCAGTGGGAGGTGTCGTGCTCTCAGTTCTTGTTCACTCCATCACGTCGCAACCTGTGTCCAGTATTGGTAAAAGGTTGCCATGCTTGGAAGGAGTGTTTTGACCCAGCTCAAAGGCAGAGGTCAGGGCAGACGCACACGGGCTCCTTCCTGGCTGGGGGCAAGCTCTTGCTGGGTCTGGCTGCTCCTGTCCCTGTGTTTGAGGATGCAGGCTATGGCAAGCCACACCCAGTGTTCAGTGAGGCTGGTCTGCCCTGTCAGCCCACTGTGCGCTAGAGCTTGTGCCCTCTGGCTTCCACCTCGCCCTCTGTGTGATGAGAAGGACTTTGTGTAGTTTGATTACGCCGCATCCTCTCGAGGCCGTCTCTTCCCTTAATGGACTCTCTGCCGTTGGCTGAAACCCGCTGTGCGGGTATTGGTGGGGTTGTCTCAGAACTGTGTGTCCCTGGATATTTGCTGTGTGTGGGGGAATCCATATCCAGATTTTTCTTTGACTGTAAAATATATTTTTACTTTTCAGTCTTCTTATTTAATAAACGGTCCATACAAAAATAGAGAAATAAAGTCCCCTAAGGGAAAGTTTACCATCTTCATTCTCGAGTGTTTTTTAATGAGGCTCCTGGTGTGCAGTGGTGATGACCCGGTCAGAATCGGCAGATGCACTCAGTAATAGCAACTTGCTTCAGGGTTGTAAGGATGAAAACTGAAAGTGAGGGAGGCAGAACCATAAAGGCCTGGCCTTTTTGTTGTTCCCACTAGAGGTAGGAGAATTGGAGCTCTGGCTCTAAGGTGGCCATAGGCGTGGATTGCAGTTGTTACTGGCTCCCTGTTGTCAAGCACCTTTCTTATTTTTTGTAATTTCTTTCTTCCAGACTACTTTGACTTGGTAGTGTGCCAGAACTGGGTACCACCACTTGTTTCTTGGGGGTCTGATGTGACTCCCTGCTCAGGGACAGTGCGCCTCAGACGATGACTAGACTAGTTAAGGAACCAGCTGTTCACCTGGGAGCAATGGGGCAGAGCCCCTCATGACAGAATACCTAAAATTCCAGGGGGAAAAGCTCAAATACACTTTTCTGAGTGTAGAGCTGGGCCCACAGGAAAGTGGGGAAGTCCCCAAGGTGGGGGTGAGGTGTGTATGGAACCGTCGAGGGCTGAGAGGAGGGCCTGGTCTCCATTGGCTGCATTTTCTTCAGGATGTGTGACAGTGCCAGCACTGGGAGACACTCCATTGGCTTCCCTTTGTGGACGGGCACAGAGGTCTGATGCCTTGAAATATACAGGGCATGAGCTGATGACAGGCCTGGATCAGGATCAGACCTCATTCAAGCCAGGACATTGGAGAGGAGGCAATAGTCTCCTAGTGTATGGAACCTCATCCCTAGTGTATGGAAACACCCACCTGTGGGTACACACAGACAAGAAGGAAAGGGGCTTGCCAGGGCATTGGAAGTTCATGACCCAGTCCTCCCTACTGAATTGGAGTTGGGTCCATGCTCCTGTGCATCTCAGGAAGCCTCTGTTAGGAACATGTGGTTGACATGGGCTGCCAAACATGCACTTACCAGTTTGAGAGCACTGGAGGCGTCTTCCACAAGGAAGCAGCAAGCAGTCAGACCCTTGGGCTCCAGGCATTCAGGGTTCCCTCTGGGTGACGTGTGCCGGGTTCCCTGACCTTCATAGACTAAGGTGCAATGTGAACAAGAAGGGACTGTTAAAGCACACAGCATGGGAAGAACCCGAGAACGCTCTGCAGACGTGGGTCCTCTGGCGGGCAGCATAGAGGAGAGACACGTGGACAGGTTGAGAGGTAGGAGATGAGACCTGGCCTCTGAATGGATGGTCAGTGAGGGACTCAGGGTCTGAAAGGACAGAAGCCAAGAATATTTTGGGTCTAATGAGATAATAATAGTCACAGTGAACAGAGCATGACTATGTGAACAATGTAAACCATAATGTTTAAGGTGGGATAAAGTAATTTTAATACTTGGCAACAATGCAAAAGAGGGACATGTTGGGTAATTGGAGGGACAGTAGGTTCTCCTCGTGTTTTATTTATTTATGTAATTAGTGTGATGCTGGGGATTGAACCCAGGGCCTCAGTGCATGCAAGGCAAGCATCTACCAACTGAGCTATAGCCCCAGTCCTCTCCTTGTGTTTTAAAGGAGAGAAGAGATGATTAACTTCAGCCTGGGCCACGGGCTCTGACCTCTGGGTTTGGGTTGTCAGCTCAGGCTCTGGCTTGCAGGCCAGTGCACTTGCAGTGTGGTGGTTTCAGGTCCCACTTGGCCTTCCTGCTGTGGTTTCTTTTACTGAACAGGTACAGCAGTCTTTGGGTTGGTGCTGACTACTGAGTATCCCAATTGTGTGGGAAATGAGGTAGGTCTGTTATGAGGTGGACAAAAAGGCAGACCTGGGCCAGGACTCCAGCATCTGACCCCACACAGCCTTACCTAGCAGAGGTCACAGTGGTGCCATGGGAAGGCCCAGGTTCCCAACACCTTGGATGACTGCGAGGGCCCTTATAATAAGGGAACCCACCTCTCCGTTACCAGTGACTTGGAAGTGGGTGGAGGGGTCAGGGCCTTCCACGAGGGGACTGATATCAGCCTGCACTCTCCTGTTCTTGCTCTGTGCATTGTTCTTGTTAGCTACCTCTGGGACCTCTGGCATTGAGGTGCTGCCACCTTGCTCTGCTCTCAGGTTCCTCTTACCTCTGCTGCTGTTCAGGGAGCCTGATTCTGTGGCAGATGTTGCACCTTCAGCACCCCCTGCAGAGGACAGCTCCTCCTGGGTGGCCTCCTCCACCTCCTCCTCACTGCCTTTGCAGGTGAGGCATCTTTCCCAGGCCCTGTCTGGCTCCTTCCCTCATACCCAGGAGGTCCCCATTCCTCAGCCCAGCTGTGCTTGGGCCTGAGTTCCTGGACTATTGCAAGGAGCAGAGGTGTGGGTAGACTTGCAGTGCCAGCAGTGCTCTGCCAGGTATCTGCCTCCAACAAGGTGGGGCTCCTTCATGGAGTCTGAGCAAGGGGGCAGCTCTATCAAGCAACCAGTGAGGCTGTATCAGTAGGCTCTGCAGGTCTGGGGGGCCTCATTTTCAGGGGCCTCTAGGTGATATCCCAACCCTGGGTCTCAGGGCCCCACTCTTTCCATCAGGGCCTGGCATCAGCAGAGGATACCCAGTGGTGCATGCATTTTCACCTCCTGCCCTCTTGAACTTGAGTTCTGGACCAGCACTCAGTACCTTCCAGCTGCAGGAGATGGTCTGGCTTTAAATATGCCAGAGGTCTGGCTTTCATACCAGGCCTTCACCTGCATTGACAGACAAGAGCCTATTGTCTTTCTCTCCAACCTCAGTGGTGTGTAACCCCAGCCCACCAGCTCCTGGGTCGTATTTGTCACCTCTTGTGCCAGGGCATTTGGGCCAGCAGCTTATCTCATGCCTGCACCCCCACTCGGAACAGGTGAGCATCTCAGGCTCTGTAGGAGGCCTGTGTTGCCCTCTGGCTGGGACAACAGATCCTACCCAGAGTCCCATTGCTAACTGGTTGCTCACCAGAACTGCTTCTGGTGCTGTAGGTCTTGGATACAGTTCTGCAGAAGCAGACTATCAGAGGACCCTTAGTGTGTAATTTTTTAAGGACCTACTCTCAGGGGAATGCAAGGAGGGAGGGAATGGGGTGCCGACAGAAAGGGCAGCTTCAGGGGAGGCCTTAACCAGCCAGGTTTTCCTGTAGTCCCGTCTCAGTCACTTTGGCTTAACGTCTCCCAAGGGAGGCAGTTTCAGGCACTTGAGCACAGCCCTTCAGAGAGATGCCAGGTGTGAGCTGGGGCAGAAAAGTACAGGCCCTGGGAGGTGGTGCAGAACAGGAAGGGGCCTGAGGTGGGCAGCAGAGCTAGACAGGGCTGTGGCCGACTGGAGTGGATTCCCCTGGAGGGTCTGTTCAGTCCCTGTGTTTGAGTCATTTGAAATAGTTCTCTGAGCCCAGGAGGGACCTGTGATCTTCAGGCCTTTCCAGACCCCTCCAACCCCGCCTGCCAGGGCAGCCTCTCTACTTGAATCTCTTTCAGAGAGTGAGATTGAGTGAGTTTGAGGGATGCTTGTTTTGGTTTTTTTTGTTTGTTTGTTTGTTTGTTTTTTTGCAAAGAATCTCTTGTGTTTCTGGCTTACATTGTCTCTTGTCTTCAGGACCACTGGTCTCTTCTCTGTTCTTAGCTGCTCTTCTGTATTGGGGGCTATGGCTGTGTTGCTGGTCTGCCTTTTGCCTTTTATTTTGCTGTTGATTTTGTTTCATGTACAAGTTTTGTTTTTTAATATTTATTTTTTTAGTTGGAGTTGGACATAATACCTTTATTTCACTTATTTATTTTTATGTAGTGCTGAGGATTCAGCCCAGAGTCTCGCACGTGTGAGGCAAGCACTCTACCACTGAGCCACAATCCCAGCCCAAAAAGTACCCCCCGCCCAATGTTGTCAAATTTTTTATTCTCTCCTTTAGAGTTTCTGGATTTCTCTTCATAATTAGCAAAGCCTTTTCCATTTTCAGGGCTTAAATATGTTTACCCATATTTTTTTCTACTGCTTGTATACTTTAACTTCTATTTATTTGGTGTTGGGTCATCCATCCAAGTAGATGTGTCCTTGGCATGAAGGATGGGGTTAGGTTGTACCCAGTGGTAAAGTGTGCGCCTAGTGTGCCTGAGGCCCTGGGTTCCACCTCCAGCACTGCCAGACCACAGCAGTAGAAGGGCTGATGTGTGAAGAATGGGTCCAAGCCTGCCATTTCCTAGCTGCTACCCAGTCATCCCCATGGCCACCTTGCCTTGGTCTGCATGCTGTCCTCGCTGACAGACAATACACAACCCCATCAAAGTCCTGCAAGCAGTTTTTTTGTTTTGTTTCTTTTTGCTGTGGCTCTTTGGAAGCTCCTTATGCAGCAATTGGGAAGGCTGAAGAGCATGGATGCATCTTGTGTGAACAGCTCAAAGTGAAGACCCTCAGCTGTGAGATGGCAGAGGCTGCTGTTGACACTGAGATCACAAAGCCCAGGCAGTTGACACCACTGTGGGAAGACCTGGCCCAGGGTGATGGGCCAGAGGAAGGAAATACAGTGGCTCAGACCCTCCTTCATACCACTCCTACACCATCCCTGGTGGATGCAGAGTGTAAGGTGGAAGGTGTAACTGTAGCACTTCCAAAGAGGGCCCCAGCACAGGCAAGTGCTTTCCCGGAAGCACTAGCCACAGAGAAAGACGCAGACCAGTGTGCCTATTGAGATGGTGAGCTTTTGCGTGCTTTCTGGGTGTTTCTTCTTACAGTGCTTCAGGATGGCTGCTCTCTGTCACTGTTCTTGCCACAGGCCAGCTTCACCCCTAGTTCATGCAGGGTCTGTACAAGGCATCTGCCTGACTCTTTGTCACCAGTGTCTTCCTGCCACTCTTACAGAAGAGTTTTGTTGGGTGTGGAACTTTGTGCTTAGAGACATTTTTCCTTGGCACCTTCAGGCACTACACACTGTCTCCTGACGTCCAGCACAACTGACATGGGGCCAGAGGCCACCAGAAT